TAATACAGCTCTCAACCTTTACAGCTGCCAACCTTTATAATACAGCTCTCAACCTTTACAGCTCTCAACCTTTATAATACAGCTCTCAACCTTTACAGCTGCCAACCTTTATAATACAGCTCTCAACCTTTACAGCTGCCAACCTTTATAATACAGCTCTCAACCTTTACAGCTGCCAACCTTTATAATACAGCTCTCAACCTTTACAGCTGCCAACCTTTATAATACAGCTCTCAACCTTTACAGCTGCCAACCTTTATAATACAGCTCTCAACCTTTACAGCTGCCAACCTTTATAATACAGCTCTCAACCTTTACAGCTGCCAACCTTTATAATACAGCTCTCAACCTTTACAGCTGCCAACCTTTATAATACAGCTCTCAACCTTTACAGCTCTCAACCTTTATAATACAGCTCTCAACCTTTACAGCTGCCAACCTTTATAATACAGCTCTCAACCTTTACAGCTGCCAACCTTTATAATACAGCTCTCAACCTTTACAGCTGCCAACCTTTATAATACAGCTCTCAACCTTTACAGCTGCCAACCTTTATAATACAGCTCTCAACCTTTACAGCTGCCAACCTTTATAATACAGCTCTCAACCTTTACAGCTGCCAACCTTTATAATACAGCTCTCAACCTTTACAGCTGCCAACCTTTATAATACAGCTCTCAACCTTTACAGCTGCCAACCTTTATAATACAGCTCTCAGCCTTTACAGCTGCCAACCTTTATAATACAGCTCTCAACCTTTACAGCTGCCAACCTTTATAATACAGCTCTCACCCTTTACAGCTCTCAACCTTTATAATACAGCTCTCAACCTTTACAGCTGCCAACCTTTATAATACAGCTCTCAACCTTTACAGCTGCCAACCTTTATAATACAGCTCTCAACCTTTACAGCTGCCAACCTTTATAATACAGCTCTCAACCTTTACAGCTGCCAACCTTTATAATACAGCTCTCAACCTTTACAGCTCTCAACCTTTATAATACAGCTCTCAACCTTTACAGCTGCCAACCTTTATAATACAGCTCTCAACCTTTACAGCTGCCAACCTTTATAATACAGCTCTCAACCTTTACAGCTGCCAACCTTTATAATACAGCTCTCAACCTTTACAGCTGCCAACCTTTATAATACAGCTCTCAACCTTTACAGCTGCCAACCTTTATAATACAGCTCTCAACCTTTACAGCTGCCAACCTTTATAATACAGCTCTCAACCTTTACAGCTGCCAACCTTTATAATACAGCTCTCAACCTTTACAGCTGCCAACCTTTATAATACAGCTCTCAACCTTTACAGCTGCCAACCTTTATAATACAGCTCTCAACCTTTACAATGCCAACCTTTAGGAACTAGTAGGACAATAGGCTAGCTGCAGTAGGTAATGTCCTAGTAGTACAATGGCTAGCTGCAGTAGGTAATGTCCTAGTAGGACAATAGGCTAGCTGCAGTAGCTTATGTCCTAGTGGGACAATAGGCTAGCCTTTTACACTGCTAGTATCAGTCCCCCCCCACCGTCTTCATCTGTATAAAACAGTTTATTCAGATATGCAAATAAAATATACCGAAAACAAAGTCCAGGTTTAATAATTTATTAAATCATACAAACAAGAAAAAAATAACATTAAAAGACGTACTTAAGGTCACATGAAATGAATAGTAACAGTCACCTTTATTCAGTTCTCAAAATATGCTACAGAATTAGTCCAGAAGGGAGGCGCCATCTTTCTTTATGTTAATGTCGTAAATGTGTTTTGTCACTACAGTATACAACCAGGACTTTGTATAATGGATTAACAAATTAACATCGTTCTTGCATTTATAAACTAGTTTTCTTATGAAGTTTTACATAAAAGGTCATCGATATCTAAAACAACACTATCGAAGCTGGTTGTATGCCAATCACAAAAACATAGATCAGTCCAGCCTGAAGTGAGTTACTGGAAGATCATAATCCTCATGAAAATGAACATTAAAATGAAATTTTTTATGAAGTGCTAAATGTATCTGACTTCGCCCATGCTCAGCCCCTACCCCACATAGTAAATGTCTACAAAAGTAAAAAAAAAAAACCCTCACAGCTAAGTTTATATCATCATTATGGATGACCGCTAAATGGACAATGGTTTCTATCGAGAAAAGTAATTTAAACTGGGCTTACACTTTACGAGAAGAACTATTCCAGCTAAAATTTTACATTTAAAAATGGTCCAAAAAATGAAAGAACATATTAAAAAAAAACACAACATGCTTAAGACACTGAACAACTTCAGAAAGCGACATACCACAGACATGTCAAGCAATATAAATGAAACACACTTTATGAATGTACAACACATTAAAACTAGATTGCGTTACATCTTTTATTCAAGAGTTTACAAGACACAGCAAGCAACACGCAGGTAAAACTTTTTTTTAAAAACACAAGTGAAACAACTACTATTTTATTCTGTCAGCTAGATCTAGATCAATTGCATTGAATATGCCCGCCAAAATAACAGTATTTGTAAAACATTTAACAGTTTTATTTAACTTGTGATATTCAGATATTATGACAAGAAAAAATATGTCAAAAATTATATTCAACAAAGCTAAAAAAAATCTGTTATACATTTAAAAAAAAATTGTTACCAAAATCTGAGCCATTTATAAGCGCCTTTTGGTAAGGGTAAAACAAAACAACAGGAATATTGTTAAAAATAAACATCACATGACACCAGACAACATTTTAAAAAGTAAACACAAAAACCAACCCTGAAGTAATACACTATGTGCTTACAAAATAGTTCTATGTTGAACTTTCAGTACAATTTATCAAAATTAGATCAATAAAAGCAAATTTTTTTCTTGTGAAATTTCAATTATTTTAGAAAAAAAATGTCAAAAAAATGGAATTGGCGCACATCTGAAACAAATTTAATAAATAGAAAAAAAATTTCAACAATTGGGTGATCTATTAACAATGATTTTTGTTTTGATTTTGTTTTAAAATTAATTTCACAAAAGGTCAATATCTTTATCATGCAGAAAGTAGGTGAATGTGCAAGTGAATGCAGTAAAAATTAGCTGCAAAAAAAAACAAACAAACAACTAAAGCTTTTGATTAATTGCTTAGTGAGCTTACAGATAAATAAATAACAAAACTAATAAAGCTGAAATGTAATTAAAGTAAATTAATTATATCGCAGTTTGTGCAAAGGAATTAATTTTTAATAACAAAATGTGTATGTATGACAAAAAAAAAAAAATTTGACACAATGTGTGTAAAACAAGTGAAGGAATGATTTGACTGAGTTCAACATTCAAGAAGTTTTGAAACACAGAGCACGCTTGTGGACGACCACTAATTGGACAATGTTTAGTGCTTAAAAATGTATTAAGTATGAACACACTGAGCTAATCAGAAATGTAACTTAATCACATTATGAAAATCTCATTATAAATTATTTTATTTTTTTGTAACTGGTAAAAACTTAACACAAAATTTTAAAATTATCTACAAAAATAGCAGGATAAGTAAAAAATAATTAAATCTTATTACCTGATCTCTAAAAAAATATCAAATGAGAAAAAAAAAAAAAATTAACACGGAAAGGTGCAAAAACTTAGTGCATGAACTCATTTTCCTTAAAGTTATAATTACAAAATGTGTCTAATAAAAAAAAAAAACAAGATTAAAAGCATACTTTACAACCACTTAAAGCTTAGTAATTAAGAGAACATTAAAAGAAAGATCAAAATTTTGTTCAATCATTTAAACTTGTGTAAATCAAGTGAGACAGTTTTATTAATGACAACTTTCACATGGTAAGGCCTGACTAAGTAACGTTTAATAGCCAAAAATAAAATGTATTCACAGTTTATATTGGATTAATTTAAGCGTAGGATGTCATAAAAGACAAAATGGTGAAAACACGCTAACGAATAGATCTGTATCTGTCAGCATAACTGACAAAAGTGATGATAAATCCTTTAAGTTTCCCTGGAATGATATTTTAAATTTGCAAAAAATTAAACAAAAAATTTAAATAGTTCGGATTTTAATTGTTGTGATTTTACAAAACAACTCACAATGAAAAAATTACCAATATTCAATATACACATCGATTAGCATTTGGTCCCAAAAAAAAAAACAACAAAATACAGATGAAACATTAATTAACGCTTAGCACAGAATTCCAGAGAAGTGAAAATGTGACTGTAATAAAACATTTTTTTCTTTCCTTTTTCACGAAATAACATGATAAAAAAAAAACAACACACAACAAATTTAGCAATTAGATAAAATTCTAGTCAGCAGTATTACTCTAGGCTCAAAGCTTTCATCTTTAAATGTGTCTTCTGGTCTATTTAAAATCTCACCAGACACAAGAGATCTATTTTAAAAAATACAACACTCTAAAAGATTCACTGGTTCAAAGATAATGCTGAAGAAAAAACAGTTTCACATATATACATCTGTACAATCAAAATGTGATGAGAGAAAAAAAAAATCACACAAGGAAATGTAATGCTAGGTTGAACTAGAGTAAGTACTTGGCAGAAGAAAATAAAACAACCAATGTACAATACAACATCTATGATTAAGTAGTTGTTTTGGCATGAAAATAGTTTAGGTCACAGGTCAACAATGAAAGACACCCAAAAGTTCACAGTATTGGCTGCTGCTTTGTTTTGCTGTTACCTGAAACATATTGCACAGACATTTGAGTAGATCATTAAAATTTTCAATCTTCTAAAAGACATGAAATAAAAAATTGATTTTTAATTTATTTATATAAATGTATCGCTTTTAAAAGTAATGTTAAGCTTATATCAAGCTAGAACTTTAAAATATACCTCATTTGTAAAATGACTAATATGCATTAATCTAATGGGAAAATACTATCAAAATGATTAGATTTATTCGTTGTTAACTGGGTTACAAATTTGAATTATCTAATATAATTCTGTATCAAAAAGTTACAAAGATTATGTGAGTATATTTTTCCTTGAACTTATCAAAAACTCTTTTTAAAAAAAATTGACTGTGAAACAATGAATTAGTTAAACTGCATACAGAGTTAAGCAACAGTTTGTATATAAGTTAAATAAAAAAAATTGTATCAAGATTCAATGTTTGACTTAAATTTTGACTAGAATATTTTTTAAAAATATGCACACATTGATAAAATGCAAATATAATTCAAAATTTTATAACATATTACCCTTTGATAAATGTTATAAAAAAAAAAGAACAGATCTGACAACATTTTTCATTTAAAACATGAACACAAAGACCAGAGAGGAATGAAACAATGCAGTATTTAAGGAACAATGACATTTATATATCACAAATCAACAACATGTTCTTGAAACTAATCGCATCACTGCAACAGTGTTATTCTAACAGTTTAAAAACAACTACCCTAATTTATTTTAATGAAACAAATAACATTGACGAAAAGTTAAATTCTAAGTAACATTTCACCTTTTCAGTGGGTAAAAAAAAAATCCACTGTTGAGATACAACATTAGACCAAGCAAAGAACACTTTGGAGCTAGAGATGTTTACAGTAAAATGTTTTTACCTAATTTAATATAGTTATAGAAGATAACAATAACTGTGATATCAGCACCAGGAGTATGTAAGCCTTTACATACAAAAAAAAAAACATTTAAAAAGTCAAAATTACAATGTAACAAAAAATGTACAAAAATTCAAGAGACTTGGCTTTAATGAAATTACCAAACAAAAAAAATCTTTTGTACACAATCATTTTTGCAAGCAAAATTCTTTTTTAACAGTTAAGTTTCTTTTCAATAATTGCAACACATTTTTAAACAAATGGGCAGAATTAAATAAATGCAATTATTCAATAAATTAAGTGTTAAATAGGATTATGAGTATTTTTCAAAGGTATACATGGTACTATGATTATAAAACTTGGGTAATGGTAGTGCTCTGTTACATGAAGTTTACATTAGATATAGTTTTGGTGAAAATATTTTCTATTTGTAAGGATAACAATATAGACTCAGTTATAAAATATATACTTATACAGTCTGTGTAAAATATGATTGTTAGACTTTCTTTAAGAAGAAAAAGTTACAAAACTATTTTAAATATTTAAAATAACTATTCTGATTGACAGCGATGTGTATGTGAAGAAAACACTAGAAAAGCTTCTCTCTGTATTACATAAAAATATGGTAGACTTACAGCATTAATTTAATAGAGAAACATAATTCGGTTTTAGCTACCAAAAGGTACCACCTACACAAATTCACATTTTACGAGAAAGACTTCCCAAATTTTGAGTAAAAAGTTTAGCAAAGCGCTTTTTAGTTAGTGGATCATACATCCACAACACTGTAGTGAGTGGATTATACATCCACACCAGTGTAGTTAGTGGATCATACATCCACACCAGTGTAGTTAGTGGATCACACATCCACACCAGTCCAACCAATGTGTGTGCCAGCCTGCCAGTGTTGATAAAATTGTGCGTGTGTGTTGGATAAGTTTCCCAGCAGACAGTTGAAGAATGTTGAGTTCTCACTGTCAAGTAATCAAATCTTCCTGAGGACCTGGCACTGATTTAAACAAAGTTCTCATCACTGTGGGAGCACATGAGAAAAGAATCCATGAGTTGTGGCATGACCAGTTGTTGATAGTCCAGGTTTGAAATGCCATCCCGACCGTACAAAGCACACACCTTGCGCAAAGCAGCCTGGCAAGAATAAATTTAAAATTAATTAAATGTAACAAACACCTAATAAGTAATAATTCCAACTAGTTTTTTTAAACTTTTTCTTTGTATGTAAACTATGAAATGCTAAAATTTAATTTTTATCTATCAATTTAAGTAAAAAAAAATTATATAAATAATAAACAATAATGTTATTCCTATACAAAGAAAGCTTACCAAACATGCAACTAACACAGCATCACTGTTATTTCTTGCCTGAGAATCTCTACAAAGCTCAATGAAACGTGGGATACCTAAACAAAACAGTCACAAAATTAAGACTACAAAGATGGTTACATTGGATAATAGATAAACAACAATATACAACCAGTAATCTATCAAATTACCTATTGTTATTACATGCAGCGTGATGCACTTGTACAAGAAGGGTGAAAGGAAAATAATTGCAAGTGAGTAAGGTACCAAGTTACCTTTTAGTGTTATGATATGGCAAAAAAAGTAAAAAATTAACAAAATCAATGAACCTTATAACCTCTCCATCTTATAGGTTTGTTAAGAATAGGATTCATAATTATCTTTTCCTGTTTGTTCTCAAGACATGGGGCAGATGAAATAGAGCCCATCATTTCAATGACCTCGGCATACAAGGGGATAGTGTGGTCAGCACTATGCCCCGCCGCCCCTCTTTCCATAACGTGAGTCAGGTACCCATCAGTTTGGTGGAATAGGGACGTCCTACAGACTCAAGCCTGAGATTTCAGACTCGAGATAGCAGTCTAGGGCTTTAACTCTAGGCCACGCCGCCCCTTAAGTGTGGGACTAAAGGAAAGTAATTATGCGTAACTAATGCGCCAAATTACCTTTTTGTCGTATGACCTTGTACGTGTGTCGAGTATCCTGGCACAAGCGCATGAGTGCTATCGCTGCTTTCTGCTGGACACGCTCACAGGCTGACCTCTCCGCGGCACTGGACAGCAAACATGGCTTCTGGTGCAGGAAGCTGACCAGTAGATCTAGACCACCGCAGCACCTGATGCTTTCCTGGCATCCATTGATAGACGCCATGTTGGCTAAAATTGTTGCCACCTGGAGATATTCATGTGAAAACATTCTACATTAAAATCTAATATTACAATATGCATAATTTCTAAAATTTAAAATGATAGATGCCATGTTGGCTAAAATTGTGGCCACCTGGAGATATTCATGTGAAAACATTCTAAATTAAAATCTAATATTACAATATGCATAATTTCTAAAATTTAAAATGATAGATGCCATGTTGGCTAAAATTGTGGCCACCTGGACATATTCATGTGAAAACATTCTACATTAAAATCTAATATTACAATACACATAAGTACTAAAATATAAAAAGAAAGCATCTGGATATTCCAAGCCTGTAATCAGGAACTAAAAACAACCCCTGAGTGTTTGTAGCTCTTTGAATGGATAAATGTAGCTCGTTTCATAATTTAATACACAGATAGGAGAAGGGACATAGTACCTATTAGATTTTTATGTAGGTTTTTATGTATGACTATTAAAAAACAAAGATTCAGTGATTTGAATATTATTTTAGAAGTAAGCTCTAGTTAATAACATGCTGACTAATTCCTCACAAAAAAAAAATATATATAGGCCTATATATATATGAAAAAGGGAAAGAGAAAAAAAAACAAAAAAAAAAAAACAAAACTAAAAAAAACCTGTTAACACCAAAATAAAAAAATGGACATAGCTTTTAAGATAAAAAATACAAGTCAAGTCTCATCACCTGATCCTTTGCAAAAAGTGATCTTGCTTTTCTGCACATGCACGTCTTAACCAGCAGCTGTGGTGCTCTCATCTCCTGCAGCAGTCCACATGCGGTGGAGTCGATGAAAGTGATGTTAGCCACTGCAGCTGCAGACAACAGAAATGTCTCATGCCCCTCCGTCTTCTCACACAATCCTGAAGGACAGACAGTGCCAGGCATGGAAATTCACAGAATAATTATAAAACACAGGTCTACTTTTCTAGCAAACAAAAATCTGATACGAAAAAAATCCAATACAAATTAGGTCAAGAGAGGACATTGAAGCTCTCTACTTCTTCTTCTTCTTCGTTCTTAATTATTAGTGTTGAAGGGGATCGAGATTTATCTGCCAGTGCGTTTGAACTCGAGACTGTTCGAATTTATTAACCATGAGCTTTTTGCCGACTCGACCACGCCTCCAACACAATTAAGCGTTACATGTCAACTGTTTATGCGCCATTGAGGCCATTGACTCCGATTTCAGCCTGCTTTTCTTTATGGATTTGCTTCCATAGCCTTTGTCCAACCAAGAACAAACTACAAGGCAGCAGTTGTTTAATTTTGGAGTTGTCTCTCCTAGAAGAGTGGCTGTCCCCAGCTAACGAGCCTCATCTGCCCGGGGGTTCGAACTCGAGACTTTTCGGTTTAGCAACCATGAGCTTTACCAACTCGACCACGCCGACCCCTGGAGCTCTCTAGAAAAGTTCACTTAAAATTTCAAGTAGATATTCAAATTTGAAAAGCTCAAGTTCAGCAAACAAGAATTAGTGGATTAAAGATCAATACAGTATTTAAATTATACTATCCTAATTCATGATAAGTAAAGTTCCCCTTTCATACCCAATGATCTATAGAGTAGATGACATAGAGTTCATGTTTCTCGACTTAGGCATATGAAGGGATGGTGTGGTTAACACTATGCCCGACTGCCACTACTTTCCCTAATGTGAGTCATGTACCCACCAGAGCTGGGTTGACTCAGGAACGTCTCACAATCTTAAGTCCAGACTGAATTCCTAATGACAGATCTGCTGACCAGCAGTCAAATGCCCTACCACACCTCCCTAATACATGATAACTGAACCATTAACAAGACTGACCTAACAAAGCTGTGAGTATAACTTGCAAAGACTCAGCAAAACGACAAAGGTGTTGGTTCATATCAAGCACAGGGGAGGTAATATATGCTAACTGAACCATTAACAAGACTAACCTAACAAAGCTGTGAGTATAACTTGCAAAGACTCAGCAAAACGACAAAGGTGTTGGTTCATATCAAGCACAGGGGAGGTAATACATGCTAACTGAACCATTAACAAGACTGACCTAACAAAGCTGTGAGTATAACTTGCAAAGACTCAGCAAAACGACAAAGGTGTTGGTTCTGATCAAGCACGGGGGAGGTAATCTGTGCTACAACCCCTGCTGCCTCCCCTTGAACAGATTCTATGACATTCTCATCAGTCAGTATATCCATCAGCAGGTCAATACCACTCTCCTGTGATAAAAATATATATAGCTTCAAGTAATGTAATTCTAAAACAATATTGGTATATATACATAAACACAATGGATGAGATTATTTCTACAGGTTCCTCTTTAAAAAAAAAGCTGCTTTTTTAAATTTTTGGCAGGAAAATACTAAATTGAGAATTTTTTTCCAAACAATGTTAGCCCTAGTTTGAGGTTAGTATCAGAACTAAAGTTAGAGAACCAACTTCCAAATTTAGAGTTTATATCAAAAGATAATTATTTAATTACAAAAAAAACTACAACAAATAAATCGAGATACCTTCTCAAGTTCAGCAACGCATTCTGGTGCGCAACAAATTGTGGCCAAGGCTCGTAAGGCCTTCGACCTGGTAAAGGCCACATTTTCTCTCCTGCATACGTCAACCAATGCTCGAACACCACCTTCCTGAAAATATTAGCAACAAAATGATATTTTTTTGAATTTTTTTCGTGTTTGCTTTAACCACATTGTGTTTTAAATAGGGTAATTTTTAAAAATGTTGCCATTGTTGTGAATCTATAGTGTCAATTTTAAAATTAGAGATAGCAACATTATCTTTCTTTTAGCACAATCAATAACTAACAGGTCCTGGTTAAAAGTGTAACATAAAATGTTCTCCTACCCTGGCTAACATATAACACATATGTTCTCCTTCAAGCCCCAGTGTAATGATGTTGTTAATGACCACATGAAGTGAAGACATACCAGTCGTTGATTCTAGCATATCCACTATTCTCTGTAAACAGAATATTTTTTTGTAATATATACAAACTGTACTGCACTAAGCTAAGAGACAGCAAGGTTAAATAGTAAAAAAAATTAAAAATAATACTCATGATAAATAGCCCAATGAATGAGAACTGAACTCTGTACATAATTAATGAAGTTTAATTAAAACTAAATGACTTACCTGTACCAAGTAACTAAGGGTGCAGTCCACTAATCGGCTAAAAGACTGACCAAGAAATGTCAGCTGGTTGACCAGTGGTACTCGATGGACCACATTCTTCTCAGCAGCACTGTCAAAAAAACAAAATCAGAGATGAAATATTTGCTATATAATTTGTAGCTCATTTGAGGTTAATCTAGATACCAACTTGGGAAAAAAAAACACTCTTATATATCTGAGATGGTACAACAGTTTAGAGGAGAACAATTGTTTCAGTTTGTTAACAATGTGTTTCAAAATGTTGAAATAAAATAAAAATTAAGACATGCAAATAAGCGTAACAGAAATGGTTTTCCACTTTATGATAGTAGTATGCTATATTTTATTTTTGGTTTATTATATAAGCGTCTTACCTTGTGGTTTGTTGAACTAATTTAGCAGATTCACACATTACAACCTCTTGTTGCTGGAAAGAAAAGAGTAAAATGTTTGTAAATAAGAGGGGAGTGTCTAATTGTCAGCTAAATTTAAATTAAGTACTTTGTACCTTCATAGATATTTAAACTAAATCAAAAAGTAAAGAAAAATTATCTTTTTCTTGGAATTATTGCAATCCTAAATGAGTAGAAAATTCTTTTTTTCTCTGGAAAACTTCAAATATTGCTAGTTTTAAAGTAGAGACAGTTTTTTACCTGCAAATTTTTAACTATTGCAATCCTAAAGTTCTAGAACAAAATATTACCTCCTGGATGTATGCAGGCACATCTGTTACATGAGCATTGCAGAGCTGGATCAGTTTCCTAATGCTGCAAGTCATCTCCATAGTCTGGTTGTTCAGCGCAACCCATTTACTTGAGTCAAAGTACCTAAAAGATACATATTTAAAATGTGTACGTTACAAAAATGAATACAACTTCATTTTTAAAAAATAACACACGGTAAAAAGATCTAATGTTAACTTAAAAACTAAGATTAATATGCTTTGTAAATTAACAAAATACATACGATTCCTAAAAATTAAATAATATGTAACTAAACATCTTAAACTTCTAAGTTATAGAACAAAATTCCATATATGAACACAAAGTACTTACTTGAACAATGTATTAAATCCTTCTGTGATTTTGTTTGCTTCAAATTTTACTCTATCAATTGCATCTAAGGAGAGAAATGGGAATACTTTTTAAAGGTAACATTTTAGTGTAAGAAATTATGTTTTACTTTGAATTCTAATCTGTATTTTAAAAAGAAACCAAACACAAAAATTATTTAGGCATACATATAATTTAAAAAAAAAAAGAAAATGAGTAGCTTATAATGAACTGAATTTTTCATTGATCCTGAAAAGTTACTCAAAGAGAGTAAACTTACCACCAATTATAAGAGAAATAAACCGGGAGTGATCTCCCCTAAACTTTCTCGAATATTCTTATATAAAACAACAGGGGATGGGAACTCGGGATATAGATCTAGTTATGATTTTTAATCCATTTTAAATACTTAAACTTTTTAAAATAGAATAGAATCTCATAGAAAAAAGCATTGCGCACCAAGCGAACGCCGAATAAAGATGTTCATAAAGGTGCGCAATATTATTAGTACTTTATAAATTTAGATGCGTTTTTGAGAAATCGGAAATAGCGTAAATTAGTACTTCCCGTCAACGGAAATTACTCAAAATTTAACAGAAGGTAGAGAATTAGATCTTTTACTTACATGTGAAATTTCATTTATCTATCTGAAATAGTACTCAAGTTATAGGCTTTTGAAAAATTCAAAGTAGAAAAAGTACCACTTCCGGTTATTGGAAATCGCTCAAAAGTTGATACGGATCTACGATTTTGATAAAATACTTATATATGAAATTTCATCAACCTAGCTGTAACGGTACTCAAGTTATCGTGTTTACACACACACAGACACACATACGGACAAGATTGCAAAATTATGTTTTTCCGTATCAGTGAGGTGAAAAACGTCGAGATTTGTAAAAATCTTGATTCTTTTTTTTTTGCACGATTACAATACTTTCTCTATACTACGTATATACGAGAAAGTAAAAAAGAATAAAAAACCAAATTTACCTCTGTACATCTGAACCTGAGATGCAGCTGTATCTTGCGCTGTGTTTGGGCACAGTGGTTTCCCTTGCAGGATACTCATACATTCAAGCTCTGTCACCCATCTCAACTCTGATCGCCAATTACTAACACAGGGGAAGTCTGATAACTCTTCTTCACTGTCAATCATAGAATATAAAAACTTAAACATTTTGACCAAAATAGATCTTTTTAAAATAAATTTGTTACTTCATGTAAAATAATATGCCTGTTAAAAATTAATGCATTTGCTTTGCAGTTCACTGGATTATGAAACAGTTCATCTTTATCCGTACCCTAGAATTAAATTCTTCTAGTTGTGGCAGCCAAGAGATAGTGACATACAAAAGAATAAACATAATTGCAAAAAACATTGATTTAAGTGAAATAGCACTATTAATGTGGGTAAGTACCATAAGTATGATAGTATCACTGTAAATGATACACAAGAATGATGAGCGTCACTAGTAGTAATATGAGTAAACAATATGAACTGCCTCTAAAGGATGTACACTTACAGTATAGATATCAGTCATAAATAATAAGAAAGAGAATCCTTCCAGCAGAAAAAGCCAAGAAGTTATGACAGTGTTATATTAATTATGTTACTATTTACCTTAATGGCTTTGGGTTTGAAGTTTTTCTTTCCACCTTTGTGGGCTTGCTTTTGCCCAATGGAAGGTTATCAGGTACTTTAAGTGATGGCCCACTCATGTTGGAAGGGGGTTTGATAATAATCCTTTGAGATAACAATGTCTTTTCACTTCATTGAGTTCACTACAAAATTCTCATCAGTGACAATTATTAAAATCCATGATAGACCGGTTTCAGTATTCTGACTATTTCATAGCACGAGTCAAAGATGGAATAGAGCGGTCAACTGTAAAAGAAATAATTTAAATGAAAACAACTTCATTAGGCATTAGCAAATTAAAACTGTATGTAACTATGTGAGTATGGGACAGCATGGTATAGCGGTGTAATAATGTGTGGGTAAAGTATGAGAAGAAATAGTGAAAGGGTAGAATAGGAGCGGAGATGTAGGCCTATGTGAAAAAATCATGTAGAGGTTCTAAGTGATTATTCATGGTTATCCAAATGACAAATGCCCTAGCTCTATATAACTATTGTTATATATATAGTAATTACATTATACTTGATTCTAGAGATCTAGATCTAGATTCTAGATCTAGTGCCAGATTAAACACACAAAAAACAATCAATCATCAGAATGAACTTTGAAATAATTGATGATGTGAATAGCAGGAATGACAACTTGATCTGGATAGTGGATAAGCAATAAGATAAGACTCATTTTACTTTTAATTCATAGTACCTCAAATATCTAGTTGAAAAATTAAGACATGGGGCAACGTATATTTGTTATCTAGATCTAGATCTAGATCTAGGATCAGCAGATGTCCGTTCGTATTCTTTGTTGATTTCTTAGAAATCCAAAATTTCTTTTTATTTTTTAGATCTAATTTAATTTTCACCTCAGACATATGATCTAAAGCGTCCAAGATAAATTAAGAACTCATATTACTAATAAACTTATAAGAAACTGGATAATAAAAAAGAAACATGATAAATTATATCCAAATTTCAAACATAAATTAAACAAGCATCGTTGGCACCAAGAACAAAAAGGGCTCTTCTATTTCTCTTCAGAAAACATAATTGTTTAAATTTTTATCGATTATAATTATTTGGGGGTAAATTTGGTAAATACAAATATCAAATTTCTCTCACGCCACAATTCAAACATAGCAATTCTTTTTGGCTGAATTAAGTATTTATGTTATTCTTAAACACATAACATTTTATAAACTATCTCCTGATTTCATTTTGATGCATTCAAACATTTGTCTTAAAACTGTACTTAATTTTAGAGATTTAAAGGTTTTATAAGTCCAATTAAAAACCCAACAAAACAAAAATAGCTTTTAGGAAAAGTACTGATATCCGATAATGTCATAATTCATTTCCGGTTAAGTTCATGCGTGTTTGTTTACGTTTTGGAAGAAGCAAATTATAAAATGCAGAGGATTGTGTAAGTATCAGATTTAGATTTTGATCTAGAGAATCTAGAACACTCTGCACATTGACAATAAATGTCGCGATTTGTCGCGTTTTGCTAAAATATAGATCTATAGCTGATAATCATGATTAATTCTGAAATTCACTATCTGTCAATTTCATGGTTAGAAGACCACGACACCCCTTCTTCATTTCATTCACAATCGCATCAAATTAAATGCGAGACGCGAGCTGGTGAGGCGGTAAAATGTGAGAAGAGTACGAGAAAGTTTGGTCATGTGACATTTTTCTCTCGCATTTTACCCACACCTGATCGGTGGACTTCATTTTAATGAGTAAAAAACGACTATTTTTTGTTTTGTTATCTAAAAACAGTAGGCCGTTCGAATTCACAGCTTCCGGGTTTGTTGTTTTGAAGCCATCTCACGGCTCATGCGCTTACCAAAAATGGCGACCAGTTTCGCTTTCACTAATGGGTAGAGGGATAAAACTAATGATTACGAAGCCATCGTTAATTTTAGACATCGGAACTATCCGTTTCTATTTAAGTCTGTCGTTTAAGAATTGTCGGATCTACTTTTGGCCTAATTTCTTTGTTTGTATTTAACGAGGCCGTCGAGAGAAAGTCACGCTTATTTAGCTTGCGTTTCAAGTCGAATTAACTAAAGCAGGTGCGCTCGACAATAACTTTTTTATTTTTTACAATTTTTATAACATCTTTACTATCAAATAAAAATTGAATTGTTTAATGAAATTAGGGTGAAAACAATACATTTGAGGGTGTAAGTGATCACCCCTCAATAATGCCATTTTATTATATTCTTGTTTGGTGAAAACGAGGCGCGGGAAAATGTGTGCCGCGCAAGAATCCAATCATTTGGCTAGATTTATGACTGTTTTTTATGTCATACCTAAAAATAGAATGTTTACGCTTTCTTCGTTGATGATCGTTTTTATTATTTTTTAAATTGAAAGTATGAATTATTAGTTAGATTGCGGATTTTGTAACTTGGTATACTTACCTTTTATCAATTTAAAAAACATAGCATGCTAATTGTGAACAAATATAGTCATAAAACACAGAAATATAAAGTTATAATTGCGATGTGCCACACCCGGGCCACACCCCCTCAAGAAAGCATGTGTTTATTAAGCTGTTTATCTCACTTTACAACAGTAATTAAAATTAATTTTCAAATTTTTATCACTTATTGGGTAAGATTAAGCACATGTTTACCAAAAATAAAAATAAAACAAAAGCAAATTCTGTTTTAATGAAGGTCACGGGTGAAGTTTTTTTTTCCTTCTGTCACGTTCAGTGGAGGGTGCCACAGGCTGACCTGACTTTGGAATTTTTTTCAGTAATAATGACTTTGCACAGAAAGTTAAAATATGCTAAATTAGCTTAGTTTACTAGTGTTCTAGCTATTATTGATACATTTTTAATAAAAAAATCATTCTGTAATTCTCATCAAACAGCCTAAAAACAGCCATTCATTTTTTGAGATTTCAACAATAATTTTGAATTTTAATTCAAATCAATGCAGAAAACCTAAGACACAGCTTGGAAAAAGAGCTTTGGAAAAGAAAGAGCCAAAAATTGTTGAAAACACAAAGAACACACTATTTTTCAAAGGGGGCAACACAAGTCAGACAGTCACCCGGGTGTTGAAAGAATGGGTAAAATGTTTTTAAATTTATACAATGTAAATAGGGATGGAGTGGTCTAGCGGTAGAGAGCTGGACCGCTAACCCGTAAGTCTCGAGTTCGAATCCGGGTACAAGTCAGTAGACCGTCTCTGAGTCCACCCAACTCTGATGGGTACCTAACTCACGTTAGGGAAAGTAAAGGCGGCTGGGCATAGTGCTGACCACACTATCTCTTCATATGCCGAGATCACAGAAACAAGTGAACTCTACTTCACTTGCCCCATAGACTGTCAGGTTTGAAAGGGAAACTTTACTTTTACAGTGTAAATAGCGTAATTTTCAAAAATTCTCTAGTTTCAAGCACAATGGCTGTTTATTTGGGTTTGATTTTTAAATTTATTTATTCACAGCACACCCTCAAGAAACCTCATGCGACTATGTTCAGCAAGTAAGTTTTAATTTTAAATATTGGAAATAATTAAAAAATCCTTTAGGCCCCTATATAAGAAAATTATTTTCATTTGTTATCAAATGTAAACTGTTTTAAAAAAAAATATATTTTTAACAGCCCTGAGTACTCTAATTTTATAGAACAATATGCCACACAATTAACAGTACTAAGTAATAAAAAGCTTTATCTATACGGCCCCCTATAATATGTATATAAGTTACTCATCAATTACTTTTCACTTTTTATTTGCAGAAAAAATGCAACAAGACCATTTGAAGACCAAAGCTCAATCGTAAATATTATTAATAGATTTGTAGCACTATTAATGTTAGATTCTGGTGTTTTATTTTCTAAAACTCTAAAGATAACAATATTCTATTTGAATCTATTTGTTTTAAATCAGTGCAAATTTAAATACTTTTTATACCATCCCTCTTGTCATTGATATAATCACTTTTCACATATCTAACTGCTATTGGGCGATAAGCTGTTCACACAAACAACAAATTTGATTTTGCTTACTGGGATCAGATAGAAACAGACAATTTCATAGAAAATGATGTTGCAACATTTAAAACTGGATATTGCTGCAAAAATAAAAAAAATAGCATAGTAGAGTTATTTATAACTTTATGTCTCATAATATGTTTCACAAAACAAGATTTATAATTAATAAATAATTATTGATTAAATACCACACTGTTTGGAAAATAATTGCCTTTGTATTCACACTTTAATTAAAAAAGTCTAATTTCAATAATTTAGATATTGAATTATAAGTCTAATGTATTGAACTTATGAAGTATTGAACATGCAATCTTGAGTGTTGATATTCATGTCACATTGAAAACATTGGATGGTTGTATTTATTAAACCCTTCTTTGTGCAGGAATTCTTCACAAACAAAGCTGACAGTTCCCTGTTTATGTTTGGTAGCCATTCTAAGAAGAGGCCTCACAATATTGTTATAGGTATATACACACTTTTTTATTATTTTTATATAATAGTCTTTAAGAAACACTTTGGCTGTGGGGGTAAAATTGTATAAAGATGCTGCTGTTTAACTTTGGATTTTGGAGAAATGTCAGCTTGTCGTGACTTATGTCGTACATTTCCCCTAATGAAACATGAATCTAATATATTGTATAATATTTTTTTTTGCCTTTTTTAGGAAGATTATTTGACAATCAGGTGTTAGATATGGTTGAGTTTGGAGTTGAAAAATTTATTTCAATGGATGATATAAAGGTAGGAGTTGTAAATAAAGTTGTATTCGCTTATGTGTTAGAACTTATGATGTTTTTTTTGTGTTATATTTATCATAATTTCGTCTGTTAATCAATAAAGAGGATAATTTTGAAAATAAGTAACATTTTCAATTTTCAACTATTCAGGGTCAAAAGTCAGCTGCTGGTATTAAACCCTGCCTTGTGTTTTCTGGAGAGTTTTTTGAGGAGAATGATGACAACAAAAGGGTTAAGAACTTGCTTATTGGTAAATACATGTACAACTTTGTTAATCCTTATTAATGATTTAGTGTGTTCATTTTATTTATCTGTACGCATTTCACTCTTTTTTTACAGATTTTTTTCGAGGAGCAACAGTGGAGAAAATTTCCTTGTCTGGTTTAGAACATGTAATATGTATATCTGCAGTCCATGGGAAAATTTACATACGTAGTTATCGGTAAGTACTTACTTGGGCTTACAAGTAAAGTTTATCAGGTTTCTTTAGGTAGCATTTTATCTCTCTCACTATATATATTATTTTATCGATCTAATTCTTCGTTCTTAATTTTTAGTGTTGGAAGGTAATAACTTTTTAATATCCATGCATTTACTTAGAGTACTGATGAAAAAATCTGGATCTAAAACACCAAGGGTAGAACTTGAACCAATGGGACCATTTTTAGACTTAACACTGAGGAGAACTAGATTAGCTTCAGATGATTTGTTTAAGAGAGCACTCAAAAAAGCTGCTCTAGCCAAGGTCAGCCATAAGATTTCATTGTTTTTTAAAATTATTGTATGATTTGAAAAAGCCTTGAATTTGTTTCATTGTTTATTTGTTATTATATCTTGTAGTATTTAGAATTGAAGCTTTCTTTCTTAATTACAGGTTGTATTAATTTCAAACCTTAATGTAATTTCTTTTTAATTCAGTATTAGCCTAAATGTAAGGTAGGCTACAGAATTCAGATATTACCTATGGTTTTGTGATTTTTATATGTTTATAACATTTGTATTTATGAAATGACCTGATGAAGTTATCAAGCAAGCTGTTTTATTATTATTTTAATAGGCCTGCAAGTTAACATACCAGTTAATTGCTAATTTATTTATTATCACTTTTAAATGATAGTCAGCATTTAACGATGTTTTCTAAGGTTATATGTTTAATTTTTTGCCTATCAGTTAAAGCGATAAGCTTTTTTTGTCAAAAGATGAATACATATTTTTCTTTTGTGTTTGTCAAGTACATGATGTATTACCCAGCATTCTTATCCTATTAGTCACAATATTTCTTTTTAAATAAATATCTTTAGCCAAAGAAAAAGAAGAACATTTCCCGTGATGAACTTGGCAACAAATTGGGACGCATCCACATGAACACTCAAAACTTCAGCAAACTCCAGGCCAGAAAACTGAAAGGACTTAAGAGGAGAGCGTCAGAGAAAAAACAAAATGGTGAAAAATCTGAAGGCGAAAAATCAGAAGCCAAGAGACAGAAAGTGGATACTCCACAATCTTGATGACAGTGATGGTGTTGAGTGTAGATGTTTGGTGGGCTGTAAAATATGATGTATGCAATAAAGTATATGTTAATACTAAAAGTATTTGAAACTCCTTTTATATTTTTTATTAACTATATATTTGACTATTTTACTGTTTAGTAGTATAATTTACATGCTGACTAGTGAAACTGGTGTTTCCACAGAAGTTTCACAAACAGTCAGTAGTGATACATATTTTTAAATTCACACTAAAGTGTACAATATTTCCTGTTACCATTTGCAAGCTACTCTACTTGCTTCCATGAGTATAAAGTTTAAAATTTCACATTTCATTTTTGTAATTCTTCATTTTTCTTAAATTAAAAAAAAAGCTACTCGACTGAGACTGAATAAAACCTAAAATATAGTGGGAGTGAACATAGTGGTAGCAGTAACTGTGTAAGGTTATCAGATTTGTTTCTTTAAGGCAGGGTTCTGAGTTAGAAAGCATTAATATGTAAACAAGTTTTTTATTGGAACAAATTACACAAAATTATTACTTTATTTTGCATGACCATACAGTATTAATATAACATATATATATATATAAAGCTATAAATAGTCAAACATCAAGTATTCAGCCTGATATAAATTTTGATTTCCTAAAACAAATCATGCAATCTTGAACATGAAAAATGTTTTTACGCTTAGAGTAAGATATAATGAAGAAAGTCATGGTGACTTATTTGTGGTTATTAAAGTTAGACTCATAACATTAAAAGTCATGTATAATAAAAAAATTAGTAAAAGCAAGCAAGATAAACATGCATTTAAATTAGCAAGCATTGATTCTAAGCTTTTACAAATATTGCTTTACATAATTGAATTATTTTACTTTTTTTTTGCTTACACTTTTAATACAAAAAAATAATCTCTAAAAAAGTAATAACTTAATTCTTCTGGGAAAAAAAAATAGTTTACAATACCAAAGAAAAGGTATTTGTGCTTATTAAAAAATTAAAGTTACTCGAAAAAATTCAGGTTACTAAAAATGTAACATAAAAACTTAAGTATGATTATGTTGTTCTTAGTTGATCTGCTTTGCACATTTTTAAAAATTGATAGAATTTTTTTTATCTAATAAAGATAAGTAGACAGTTATTATTTTTTTAAAAAGAATACTGAAAAATCTGTATTTCACAATCTCAGTTGGTTTAGCCTGTACAACAATAATATAAAAAATTCATTTTTTAATTTAAGTAAATGTGCCGGTACTAATGGAATCTTAAATGTAAAGATAGTAAATATAATTGCACAATGTAAAAATTGTAATACTCAAGGACTGTAAAGTTAGTATGATGATTATAAGAATAGAACTACAAAAAGCAATTTGATTTTGCAGTGAATAAAGTTTGCCACATACATTTCAAACATTTTATTTTATATAGTAAATTTGATATAAAAGGAATGTTGTGTTAGTAGTCAACAGTAAATACTAAGACATATGCAAATAAAATTATAGTTTAGTAAAATATGTTACGGACAACATTTATGAGTTACACATTTGATTTGTAAAAAAAAAATGTTTACAAAATAGATAAAAATGTTATGTTCTTTAGTGTTGCTCCATAAAACAGTCATAGAAAATAATCTGAAACAAATATCACACTGTCCTGAACTGTACAGAACTTATACCCGCAAAGAATTATTTGTAAAAGCATCTGGATATGTTAGATGAAAATTTCATTTTTTAATAAGGCGCTTTAAAATATATATTTTTACATGTAAAAGTAATTTACTAAGATAATAAAAAAAATTTAGATATATATGAACCACTGATAAGACACTTCTAGTCTGAATTTCATTTTCAGAGCTCTTCTTATTAGGAAACTATATTGTTATTTTGAGACAGGGGCTTTGTGACTGGTCTTGTCCTGGGCCCAACAAAGAATTTCAGAAGTCCATTGATCAGCAAACTGAGGGACTCAGGTTCCCGTTCATATGCGTGCATCACTGACATCATGGAGAGGGCAAACAACAGTGTGAAGCCGTGTGGTATACGCAGACCAGGTCCTAGCTTTGAACGTTTGATGGCGATGTATAAAATGTTGATGGTATGGGGGATGACAAAGAGGGATAACTCTTTCCTTCTGCTGTGCCTGAAGAAGATTAAATGAGAAATTAAAAAGAATAAGATACAAGGCATACCTTAAAAAACACTTAATTTTATGGTTATGTGAACATGTTTTTAAATTAATGTGAAAATAATTTATTACTATTAGAATAACTTTTAATGCAAAAAAATCATTTTTAAATGACACTTTGCATTGTCATCTGAGACTAATGTTTTTATAAAGCTTAACGAAATTGCTGCATTATAAGTATAATTGAGCTAAAATTAGTGCCGCAAGCTTTGCAACAAACAGACATTGTGACCTCAGCAAAAGCTTATAAATAGAGCTTTAATACATTTTTGTATCAGTGGCTCCATTACCTTTCCAGAAGTAATGCAATCCCGCAAACAAAACCACCTAAAGCTGGGATAAAGCCAGCAAGTGGTGGTGGCTGGTGCAGGCCATTACGCAGGACACAGATGGTAATTTTGGCCAGGGCAACAGTCAGCCCCAAAAAAGTTGTGGACAATATCATGTTTTTCACCAAAGATTTCAAGACATAAAGTGGTCTGAAAATAGAAAAAAATGCAAGACTCAAAATTTCAATGCTTAAAACTATTCATAAAATAATTTTCCTTGTACATGAGTGAGAGGGAATTAAAAAAAAAGTTACATTTTTTTTGCGTTACAGTAGACTCGTGTGTAGATGGCATGTACAATTTAGAATGGTTGGTTTTTGTAATTGTAAATCTTTACTGCTGAACAATGGTTTTACTAAATTTCTTTTTGGAAAACTTTTCTTATTTTATACTTGATACAATTAATTAAATAAATGAAAGGTTATTTGAGTTTAACTTTAGTTGTATTTTAAAACTTTGTATTGAAATTATAGACGTTGATTTTAACAATAGCAACAGAACAAACCTCTCAGCTACAACTTTTCTCTTAAATATGACAATGGGAGTGACATGGATGGGGAGGTATAACTTGGCAAATCCGGGCAGGGATTTCAACAGATCCTTTAGCCTGTGCTGTACACAAGAACCTTCATGCAGACCCCCTTCGTCACATGTGATATACCTTGTCCCTGGAACTCTAAAACAGTAATAAACAAAATGAAAAGTTCATTTTACTTTTTCACACAGGCAAAACTGGCTAAAGCAATACTTTTGGACAGTCCCACAACTCATACTGCTAGCTGCTTTGACTCTTTCATCTTCTACCAGAATTTATTTTTTCCAACTACGTGTCTAGAAATGATTACTGTTGAGGAGAGGTAGGATGGAAGATTTATCGACCTATAATGGGTATTGATATTGTTTATTGGGTTCGTATGTTTTCTACAACTAGACCCTGCCTAATTTTTGTTTTTATATTCAAAAGTTAAGAAAGTAATTAAACAGACACTGAAAATAATACAAGATTCTATATATCTAAAATTTAATGGTCTATATTTAGTTTCAATTAAAGCCTTTGTAGCACAAAAAACCTTTGTAAATGCTTACAAAGTTTAAGTAATTAATTTTATTCAGGAAAATTTAATAATTTTATTTACCTGAACATGATCTGTAGATTTTTATCTGTATAGTCACGTGACCATTTCAGAATGGACCTATAGTAGCCAGTGTTAAGGTACTGAGGTCTAAGTGCAACACAGTACACAATGATACTTGTACAAAGGCAGAAAACCATAACTTCGAAAAATGGGATGGCAGTTATCACCCCTGAAATTAACAAGAGATTTGAAACATTATTAACCTAAAGCTATTTCTTAAAATCTATGGGCAAAAATTCACACTTATAGGGATGTTTGGACTAAAGTAATAATGTGTAATCCACACTTTTGCTTTTAAAAGTTGAATTTTTATCATCCAACTAGGTCTATATTTAAGAAATAAATAATTTTTAATCATTTTAAAAATTGCAATTTGATATCTTTATGGACAATCCCTGACTGCCCTGAGTATCCAAGTTTTAGAAATAAAATAACATTTTTTTAATTAAAGATATCACCTAGAAAAGTAAATATGTTAAACTATGGCTTGAAACAAAATTTAAAAGTATTCAGAACAAGCAAAAAGCAGTTATAATAAGTGTTAAGATTAACTCTTGAATTAAAACTGATTAGTTAGGGGTGTCTCACAACTTATTTTTATTTTCACATCTATTTTTTACCATCTAAAGACCTTTAAAGGAGAGAAACAATCACTCAAGTATAAACTAGTAAAATTTTAAAAATTGTGATTACCTCTGGCCACTAGAGTGGAAAGGCCAGCACCCAGTGCTCTAGACAGTGTAAAAAATGCTAATGTTTGTCTTTTTGTCTTGTCCAATATAGCCACAGACAGACCTGCTAGACCACCAGATATCCCAAAATTCCATCCATCCTAAATTTAAGTAAAAAAAATTCTCATCTTAAATAATTGTAATGTTTTCAAAATTATATGCTCTTCTATGTTTACAATCATAATGTTTTTAAATTTAAATATTTTATTTGAATTTGTATTTTATTTATGGTACTATGTACTGACTACTTTCCAGTACTACGGTATGGAGAGACTAGCTTTGGCTCTGTAAAAGATTCTGTCAGTTTACTTAGCTGTATGTTTTATACTATTTAAGGTATCTAGGCAGGCTAAACCATTATTTTATAAAGCAAAGCCATATAACAGGAGAACTCTACAGACTGTGAAAATATGTTTAGTAGTGTTTACAATAACACTGCCATAATATTAAAATCAGTTTGAAATTATTCTTATTTGGAACATGTTTAAAAATTTTTTTTTTTTTTAAGTATATAAAAGGCGCATTAAGCTCTCTCAAACAAGACACTTAGAGTAACTTGGTTATGTTGCCTGCTTAACTTCTTTCGATTTATACAGATATTTTCTGATTCAAGTTTAGTTATGGAAAATCATAACAGTTTTTGTGTCTCCTCTTTTCAAATAATAAATACAACCTTAAAAGCATTGGCGTAAAGTATCATTTGATTTAAAAGAAAAAATAACCCAATGACGTACATTTTTTCTCCACACCGACAGGACATCAACCAGTACCTTAAAAGCATTGGCGTAAAGTATCTTTTGATTTAAATGAAAAAATAACCCAATGACGTACATTTTTTCTCCACACTGACAAGACATCAACCAGTACCTTAAAAGCATTGGCGTAAAGTAACTTTTAATTTAAAAGAAAAAATAACCCAATGACGTACATTTTTTCTCCACACCGACAAGACATCAACCAGTACCTTAAAAGCATTGGCGTAAAGTATCATTTGATTTAAAAGAAAAAATAACCCAATGACGTACATTTTTTCTCCACACCGACAGGACATCAACCAGTACCTTAAAAGCATTGGCGTAAAGTATCTTTTGATTTAAATGCAAAAATAACCCAATGACGTACATTTTTTCTCCACACCGACAAGACATCAACCAGTACCTTAAAAGCATTGGCGTAAAGTATCTTTTGATTTAAATGAAAAAATAACCCAATGACGTACATTTTTTCTCCACACCGACAGGACATCAACCAGTACCTTAAAAGCATTGGCGTAAAGTATCTTTTGATTTAAATGAAAAAATAACCCAATGACGTACATTTTTTCTCCACACCGACAAGACATCAACCAGTACCTTAAAAGCATTGGCGTAAAGTAACTTTTAATTTAAAAGAAAAAATAACCCAATGACGTACATTTTTTCTCCACACAGACAGGACATCAACCAGTAGGTGGTACAAGCTGGGATAGAGACCAAAAAAGGTTGCCACCCTGGCACATTCCTCTGATAAAATACCCTGCCATATCTTGGGAAGGCTGGAAAAAAAATGGGCATCTGTTAATTATTTTTTCCCAAATTTATTTTTAAGTTTAGAAACTGGATATTTCTTTTGTGAAATGTAAAAACTGAACATTGATACTTTGTATTGATTTATTATAACTTGTTTAAAATAAATTATGTTACATTTGAAAAAAAGACATTCATGTCACTATAATGTTTTGTCCAGCTAAACCCTTAGTTTAAGATAAATTAAGTATCACTTATTTATAAAAACATCATCAAAAAGACATAATCAAGGCAATTATTGAGTGTGCTAAAATTGGTAACCTAAACATGGCCATAAACCCAGTGATTAGTACTAACCATTATTTTAATTAATGTTAAACCTGGCACTATCTGTGACAGTAATACTATATATTGGTCTGCCAGGATTTTTATAATTTTTACATTTAAATTGTAGAAAGACATAAATTGATTAACAGTTAAGGGAAAATTAAACAATGGAAAAACATTTCACCAGAGCACTGATAAGAATGATAATTGTGATAAGGCAAAGATACTAGAACACATTCAACTTCGTACTAATTATCTTAAATTGTTGAATAAAATAAAAAAATAAAAAATGCTTTCACACATTTTAAATAGTGGCTTGTCAAAGATTTACCTTTCTCTAAATGGATTTCTTAATAGCGCAGTGACTATTCTCACCCCAGCAAACAGCAGGATCCCTCCAGAGAAACCACTACAAAACCTTCTGATAAATTCTCTAGCAAGTTTTCTTCTCAATTTTCTGTTTAAAAATATTGAAGGTGTGTCTTTTGGTGATGCTTCCATTTGATAGTTCTATTTGTGCTCTTTTATACTTAGTCAAGTATTGCAGAATCATAGAAGGTGTTGAATTCAATATATGAAGTAGGCCTACACATCATGTCTATGGGCCTGTAGTCAAACAATAGTCATTATTTACAACAGCTATATTTTACAAATTGCTTAAAATTGCTTAAAATTGCTTAAAAAGTTTAAAGAAATGGGTTTTATTGGTCAAAGTTTTGTATTATTATTTTGTTAGGAACAAGACAAATCCCTGCAAATAAGAAATTGGGACACCCAGTGAAGGGACAAAAGATAGGTGAACGTTCTCAATGCAGCAATTAGAAGAGAAGAATCAAGATTATCTGTCTCTGGCAAGGTCTTTTAGAGAATTATGCTTGAGAGGCTAGTGCTAAAGGAGACGTTGGACAAGAAATTAAGACCAGAACTGGCAGGGTTTTGCACATAATTACACAACCCACTTGTCCATGACATATGTTGATTTTTAGAAGGATTTGCTGGTGTGGACAGAGAAACTCAAACCGCCAGAAAACCACAGCACTGCATGGTTAATTAATTATAATTTATGGGTAATCTATCGTTTTAGGTACGTAAAATCGCCCGCGGCTAGTAATGTACGAAAAAGTTACCTCATTGTCAAGGCTTTAATAGAAGTATATTTTGATATATATTTGTGTCAAATATAATAGATAAATAAATAATAAACCTAAATCCATGGCTAAATATATCAATATGGGCCAGAAATTAAGTTTAAACAGCAGTGTTTGCGAGCAAGATTTGCTATATAAACAACAGCCATTTGTAAAATAGAGTGGCTTCCCCTGAATCTCACGCTATAAGTTTACAAAAAAAAACTTAAACAAGATGGTGCTATAGTAAATGAGCATGGTTGCATCTGTTGGAAACATCGCTAGTCTTCATTTATTACTGAAAAGTTTTAATTCAATTGTTCAAAAACAGGTACATAAATGAAACAAGGAAACATTTTTGTATTTTTCAAAACATAAATCCTCCTCAAAATGTGAAATAATTATTAAAATTTAAGTCACCTGTTTTTCACATGACTAGTCGCGGGCGATTTTTTTACGTACCTAAAACGCCTAGTCTAAAACTTTTTAAACCGATAGATTACCATTAACATTAATTTTATCATTTTTATGTATTAGTTAGACGATTAGTCAACCAAATAGGCCTATAATGAATAATGGGCCTATATCTACTATTGGATCAATCATTTGGGAAAAGCTAGATTAGGTCTTAGAATAAGGGTTAGAATTTGTAAAATATAGATCTATTTGAAAACGAAAGTAACAATGAGTTGATTCTGATTGTAAACAAACACAAAATTGCGATGTCGGTTCACAGCTTACAATTTATTGACAAACTAATTAAAAATAGGTCTAGAGAGATCTAGATGATATAACTATCTGGTTTTTGGCCTCAACTTTTAAATATAAGTGAGGTTAAAGCAAAAGCAAGCTGTTTAAACATTTATTATTTAAAAAAATAAAATGAGTTTGGTAGCCATTACATTTTCAATTAGAATGTGATACATTTTGTTTTATTAAATCTAACTATTTATAAAAATTGCAGCTGATTTACCGGCAACTTTGGCAGAAAGTTAAATTTAGATATCACGTGACAGTACCCTCCCCTTACTAGAGGCAGTAATTTAAAAAATTCGAATTTATGTTTTTACTTGGAATACAAGTATCATTAAATTTGATTTTAATTCATGATTTTAAAATATAGGCACTACAGCGTAGGGGTCATCCATAAATGACGTCACACTCGTAGGGGGGAGGGGGGTCCGTAATTTTGTGACGATGTGTGATGAGGGGAGGGGGGGGGGGGTTCAGATGTTGCGACATCACATTTTTGCATTATAAAAAAGCAGTGAGAAAACGAATTTTAGACGTTATTTCGCGTTTTAGATAACTGTTTTAATAAATTGTAATAGTTTAGACAAGATTTTGGAAAAATATCGATGTTTTAAAAAAATTCAACTGCAATTTTGAGGGGGGTTGTAGGTTGAGGTGTGACGTCATTTTAGGGGGGGGGGGTCTGGCTTTTTGTGACGACGTGTGACGGAGGGGAGGGGGGGAGGTAAAAATCGTCAAAAAAAGCGTGACGTCATTTATGGATGACCCCGTATTGCTTATTACAAGAATCTCTATATCTGTTCGATACCTGCTCGATAACTGTAATTATAATTATATATACATATACATATATATACATACATACATATATATATATATGTATATATATATATATATATATATATATATATATATATATATATATATATATATATATATATATATATATATATATATATATATATATATATATATATATATATATATATATATATATATATATATATACAGCGGCGGGGGGGGGGGGGGGTGTTCAATTTTTACCCGGGGACAAACTTTCGATTTGCACCCCCCCCCCCCCTCAGACTTTCGATTTGCCCCCCCCCCCCCTCATACTTTTTATATATACCGAGGGGTCTATGGGGGGGGGGGGGTTATGACCCCCCTAACCCCCCTGCCTACGCCACTGTATATATATATATATATATATATATATATATATATATATATATATATATATATATATATATATATATATATATATATATATTGTATATTATACATTAGCCTATGTGTGTTTATTTGTTTAATAAAGACCACTTCTGAGCATATCATTCTGCAACAAAACTACGGATATAGTTGACATATAATTTACTTTTTATTAACTGTACGTTATATAGATTTTGACATAAAATGCGGTCAGTGTTTCTTCCAGACTTTCTTATTCCGGGGGGGGGGGGGAGGGGGCGGACACTAGTAAAAGTAATTGCATTCTATAAAATACACTTTCGTTCGGGGGCGGGAAGGGGGGTGCGGACTTTCTTCCAAACAGATGGAAGAAACTCTGATCTTGTCCAGTTAAGCCATGTCAAATAATCAACCCTCGCCACCAGCGTTTCTTCCCTTAACGAAATAAAAATTATATAGAAAAATTTATACTTTAACAGTGTGCCCCCCCCCCCCCCAAGAAAGTCTACCGCTACCGCCCCCCTTCCCCCCGAAAATTTCAAGTGCCCCCCCCCCTGGAGAAAAAAGTCTGGAAGAAACACTTCTCACTCGCCACCCCCCTCCTAAAATTC